CGGCCTGTGGGCCGTGGCCGCTGAGCCTGTGCGTCCGGAGCCTGTGCTCCGCAACGGGAGAGGCCACAACAGTGAGAGGCACGCGTACCGCAAAAAAAAAAAAAAAAAATTCAGGGGGGTTATCTCTACAAGCCCTTTGCCCCTTAATCCTCACGGCCAACTGGCCTCTAGTAAAGGTACCCACATTCCCTGAGAGCCTTAAGGAGGCGCTGTGCTAGGGACTTGCCATGGATGACTTATCCCTCCCAACAAACCACAAGGAACCACTAAAGTCAGCTTATAAACCACAATGCTGAGAATCATACTTGGGATCTCTTTAACCCTCCCCCCACCAGAGACCTATGGTAGAGAGTGTCCGAAAATACTTAAATGAAGAAAAAAATGCATTGGTCATCAATAGCAATTTCCACTAGTATGGAAGTATTAAGAGATAAGCACAAAATTGCTCATATCTCAGTGACTACTATTATGATTTGTCTCTGTGTCAGAGTTACAAAGTATCATCATGTATAGCTGGCATGTCCCTCAGCTTTGTTTTCTAGAATTTCTATAGCAAATTCCAGATCAAGGCCCAATACATATGATGTGTGCCTCAGGCATGGGGTTAGGCCAAGTGGAAATGTATACAGACTCCTTATGTACTATTTCCTTCACTCTGACGTGGTATAAAAATTAACAAAAAACCATAGTCAGAGAACTAAAAAAACAGTAACTGGTTATGAACCAGTCCATGAATATTCATTCTAATCACTGCACAATAATCAATTAGTAGTATACACAGCAAGAAAATATGAAATATGAGGCTACAGATTGAAGAACTGAATAAATCATCATTTTTAAATGACATAACTAGAGATAATGCATTTTCTTTTCTGGATGAAAGATTCATTTATGTTTCCTAGTGGAATAAATAAAGGGAAAAAATACACATGAATGGTAAAAAAAAAAAAAAAAAATTAAGCCAAAGTGTCTGTTCCTACAAATACAGGTCAAGAAAAGCATTGCTCACATTATTTCATTTTACAGTTTGGATATTCATTACCTTGTTTTCTTAAGACTGAAAAAAAATAGAAATGTGAGTTTACTGAATTTCCTAATGTTTTATACAATGCAGTCGACTTTTTAAAAAATACACGTTAGGGGCTTCCCTGGTGGCGCAGTGGTTGGGAGTCCACCTGCTGATGTAGGGGACGCGGGTTTGTGCCCCGGTCCGGGAAGATCCCACATGCCGCGGAGCGGCTGGGCCCGTGAGCCATGGCCACTGAGCCTGCGCTCCGGAGCCTGTGCTCCGCAACGGGAGAGGCTACAGCAGTGCGAGGCCCGTGTACCGCAAAAAAACCAAAACAAAACAAAGCAAAAAAAAAAAACACATGAACACATTAATAATATTACTAACGAAAAGTTGTAATGAAATTTCTGGTTCTTTTCTAAGTTCACCTTTCCTAATATCAAATGGTAGAATGTGCTGTGGTGCTTTACATTTTAAATGGGATGTTTCAACTAATGTTGCCAGAAACAAAATGTCAATGAGGATGCAAAGCTTCTAAAAACAAACTAAACTAGAACTATCAAAGACATAAAATAGAGTAACCATAGTAATGCTAATTTTAAACGGTCACTGATTAAACATTTTTTTCCTAACCAATGTCAGGCATTTGCTATATCTTTTTCAGAACTGTTTTCAAGTTATTCGTAATTTCATACTTCTAAATTTCTCACACCTTTAATGAAGGAACATAAAAATAATAGTGGTAGCGTGTGGAAAAGAACTTAGATGCAATGATGCTCAGCAAACCTTACATATGTGTGTGTGTGTACGCGCGCACGTGCACACACACATTCCCACTCCAGACCTAAAATGGCTGAGTTGCAGGATATTGTTGCTTGGTGACCAAACAGTATCTCCTCAGCCACACAGTAATCTAAACAGTGGCAGATATGTCTCCTCAGTTTTAGGCATGGCCAGGACAAATATTAAAGGGCATGTTTATCTTCTCCAATATTCCACATTTTTAAGTCAGTTGTCACTTGCTTGATTTTATCATCAGTTATATCTAGGCTTCAGGGGGGAAAGTATTTGCAAACCTACATATGTTATTGTGGAAAAACAAGAGGTAGAACCAAGCTTCTTTCAGACTGAAAGATAGTCCTGTTTCAGTTAAGTCTGTGTGGTGTCTGCTCTCTTCTAGTCCGACCTCCCAGTTGCTATCAGTCTCCCTTTCTTTCATTAAACACAGGAAGTTAATTAGCCCCAGCCTGTCCTCTCCCCTTCTCTCTTTCCC